GTGATGGTAGTGTAGACAACACACCAGAGCAGGTGATCCAATAATCCTCTACACTGACTCAGTATGCAGCCGCACATAGAAACCCACATCCTTCCTAACTTCTGTTTCTCCATCTGTAAAATGGGAATTGTGAGAGCTGTCATGCCTCCCTCTAATGAGTTGCCATGAGTCTCAAATGTGAGAGTGAGTGGGAAAACCCTTTGCTGACAGAATCAATGTAAAGGATTAGAAAATACCAAGCAGGTCTTTTTCTTTCTTTCTTTCTTTTTTTAAAGTAGAGATTTTTGCTGTAGGGCACATGTGCTCACCAGAGAGACAGAAAGTGAGAAATCACCCTCTGGGAGATGATCACACTGCAATCCCTTCTCTACCATTCCCCTCTCAGTATCTTGGGCACATACACACATGCACACAGCATGAGTTTTAAACCTCCAGGTCTGGGACTGGAACCTCACTCAACTACGTGGTAGAGTTCAGCGATGTAACCATTATGTCTTCTGCTGTCCCCAGGTCATGTTTTTTTTGATAAGACTGGGTGTGACAATACCATGTAGTGTTTGAGAAAGTGAATGAGAAATAAATAAATAAATAAATAAATAAAAGCACTTTCCAAGGTTCCTGGCAGCAGGCTGTGGTTTGAAAGCAGTGCTGGCACTGCCGTAGCTTTTCCCTTCAAGTGCTGAACGTATTCCCATTTGCTTGGCAGTTGCAAAGCCCACTTGTGAAATCCCTTGGTGTCTGTTCCCTTTCTTTCTCTCCCTGTACCTCTTCCTCCCCATCCTCCTCCCACACTATGTGTGCATGTACACTCATGGGAAGCATATGCTTCTGTTTTCTGTGGTCACTTCTGAGTGGGCTGGGGCTTGTTGTGCATCTCTGAGTCTCCTACCTTCTATGCTTTGCTTCTGGAGTCTTGCAAGGTAACTCAGAGTGTGTACATTTGTAGGACTAAGGCAACTGGGAAGGAGACTTCTTCCAAGCTATTCCTAGGACAAACACCATGGACTGTTCCCTTTGGAATACTTGAGTCTCTAGGATACAGAGACTTTTGTTTTATATGCTATACCTTTACCATGAGGCTGCCTCAAATATGTGTTCCATTCCATGAACAAAGAAAAATCAGCAAGATAACTTTGCCTTTCAAAAGGAAGACTCCCATTTCTGGAATTTAACCAGTAGACTTTGAGGCTAGTTAGGAATCATTTTTTTATGGGAACATAAAGGTCTTTAAAAATATTCTTCTGGGGCCAGCATATAGCATAATGGTTACATTGCTGGAATCTCTCGTAGTCAACCAAGGTTCGAGTCCCAGACCTGGCAACCTAAAACTCACACTGGGTGCATGAGCATGTATGCCCAAGATCCTGAGAGGAGATGATATTGTAGTGTGCACATCCCTCTTGGGGGGGGTGATTTCTCGCTTTCTGTCTCTGTCTCTCCGGCAAGTGCACATGCCCTATGGCAAAACAAAAAAAAAAAAAAAAAAAAAAAAAAAGAAAAAGAAAAAGAAAAAGAAAGCTCTCTAAAAATATTAAAAAAAAAAAGGTTCTTCTATTCAAAGTCTTGCAGCAGCTCCCTATGGCCTATCATATAAAGACTGAGATCTTGCTATGCTATATATAACCCTACATGATCTATCCTTACTCTGTGTCCAGCTCCGTCAATAGTCATACTCACATGGCTTGGATTATGGCTTAAGCATTAATTTTTCCATCTATCCACTAATTTTGTTCATTGTTTTCAACATGTAGCCACTAAACATGTATAGGCTGGACAACCGTGCATGGCATTAGAGACAGCGTGGGGAACAACATCATGCCCACAATAACAAAGACTGTGTAGCAGGCTAAATATTTAGGTCCTTGTCCCTAAAACTTGTGAATTTTTTACCTTAAATGGCAAAAAGACTTTGCAAAGGTGATTAAGCTAAATATCTTGAAGTGAGGGGATTATCCTGGATCATCAGGTGGGCCCTAGATGCAATCACAAGTGGCCTTAAAAGCAGGAAACAGAGATTTGATATTACACAAAGAGAAAGCAATTTGGCCATGGAATCAGAGCTTGGAGTGATGCAACCAGATCCATGGAAGTCCAGCAGCCATGGGAAGATGGGAGAGGCAAGGAAGGGATTTCTCAAAGCTTCCAGAAAAACGCAGTCCTACTTATACCTTGCTTTTAGCCCAGCAAGACTCAGTTCAGACTTGGCCTAAAGGTCTGTAAGAGAATATCTTTCTGCTGCCTTAAGCCACTACATGGTAGTGATTTGTTACAGCAGCAAATAAAGACCTTAAAGTCTAGCTATAAGTCAGCAGTTACCATTTGGGAGAATTACAAAGCAAGCAACTTATTCTGGAACTGGGATACTAGGCATCATGGAGAGAGTGACATGCTAGTTGTAGCCTGAAAACGGATCATTCATTATTAATCAGCCAAGGAAGGTAAGGCCAGGTCAGGTGGTGGCAGAAAGAGTAAACTGCATGTGTGAAGTGTATCTGGACTACCATATGCTGGGTCCATCACCCTTTATCTCCCGTTTCCCCATACGAACACACACACACACACACACACACACACACACACAAACACACACACATACACACACACATATCATTTCACATATGTACACTTGCTAATATGTCCATTTGGCCAATCTCTATTCATTATTCAAAATTGCTGAAAGGCCTCTTCAATAGGAAAGTCCTTCCTTATACACCTCCCACCCCGTCCCATGTCATCCTCTTTTGCCTTCCAAACAGAGTTCATCAACAGGCAACAGGCCCTATTCTCTTATAGAGACCCCATTTCTTATTGATTAAATCTCTAAATTATAAAAGTGATATGTTAGAAAAATCCCTGAGCAGAATTGAATACCAGTCCCAGCAACTCCATTTATCTCTCTGGAATCTAAAAGACTCAGATGTTGGGAGGAAAGATTTTAGCAGAGAGAATCTTTTGGCAGTGGGAACTGGGTTGGAGAGTCATCAGGAATGGTTTCACAGTCTTCCAGCAAATTCCCTGAGGCTGGTGAGCTAAGATCCTTGGTACAGATTTTGTCCAACAGGGAATTTAGAAAGCCCTAATAAACCCTTTTTGATAAGTTTATTCTTCCAGTTCAGGTGGCATTTTTGTCTTGGAAGCTACTAGAATGCTTTGAGATCCTTTAAGGAGGAGATATAGCTTTGGGAACATGAATGTTCTGGTTATATATGACGTCAAAAGAATAGGAAGTCGGGTTACTTATCTCTTTCTTTCTTCGACCTAGAATGAAAGAAAGCAACTATGTGATCAAGGACTTTTTTTTTTTTTTTTTTCATTTTCCAACTGGTTGCTATGGTGTCATGTAGGGAGGACCCATCTGCAACTCCTAGTGTTTTGTATCAGAAGACAACTGTCAGTCCTCAATTAATTATTCATGTTTTCATTAGGAGCAATAATGAGAAACAGTTGAAATGACAGGTTCCTAACATTAGTAGGAACCCTAAAATATTCATGTATTCTCTGGTTTGCAAACCTTTTTAAGGTAGAGGAAGCAGTAGTTTTAAAATTAGAGTTATCTCAGTTCAAGTTTCAACCACTTAATAGCTATGTTGTGATATCACGTTTACCTCTTTGAGCATCAGATTTCTCATTTGTAAAATGAGGATAATGGCACCTACCTCTTGGGAATAGCTGAGGGTTACAGATTGTGAAGGATTGCAGATTGTACCTGATGTGATATCTGGCTCCTAGTAGCTGTTCAATAAATAGTACCTATTAATGATAAGGAAGCTATAATAGATGAGGTATTATTTTGATCTGGTTTAATTCAATTCACAATTAATCATCCTGTTGGTTTTGAATGATGTTATTCTGCTTTTAGGTAGAGAACCTTGGGATATTTTGAGATACAATTACCATTCTGAAAATGAACGAGTATCTCTAAATGGAATGCACTCAGCTATTAAATTTGAGGACATTAAATTGCATTTATTCTTGCTTTGTCAACTGCAGTTTGAGTCCCAGACCTGGTGGCTTAAACTCATGCTGGGCATGTGTGCGTGTATGCCCAATATCCTAAGAGGAGAAGGGATCAGGGGTCGCAGCGTGGCCATACCCCCAGGGGGTGATTTCTCATGTCTCTCTGTTTCTCTCTGTCTCTCTAGTGAGCACACTCACCCTATAGCAAAAAAATAATTTAATTAATAAATTAGTAAATAATAAAAATACTCTCTAAAAAAAACTCTCTAAAAATTGCATTTATTAAATATATTAAATGTTCCTCTGTTTGTATTCTAGAAGGAGTTTCTGTGGTTCTTTTTGGCCAGAAGTGTCTGGAGTAGCTTCTTTTTTTGAGAACACTATGTTTCGTTATGTTCATTGGGGAGCAGATAAGTTGCACCTTCTCCTAAAGCTCACACACAGTGACAATCCGGTTCCCAAACAACTGAGTTCAGCAAAGAATAAATGACAGGAAAACCTGCTCATGTTACATGATGTGGCATAAGTGATTCTATGACTTCTTTGTCCCTAAATAATTGGAGTAGAGTCAAATGAGATAATGCATGCGAAAGCATTTTGAAAACTAAAGTTTTCATTGTAATGGATCATTATTATTCTAATTACTACTAATATGAAGAACCTAATATAGCATGGACCAATTATCAAGATAAGAGTATTTCTGAAGTTGTGAACATTCAGTACTTAGTTTTATACTGTTTTGCTTTGCTCTCTAATTGTTTCATGCATTTTAATCTTACCCCTCTATGCCAAGTAAATTGTTAAGTATGAACATTTTAGTCATTTGGTACAATTCATTATTTCAAAATCCTTTACTAAATGCTTATCTGTGCCAGGCACAGAGCTAAGTACAATGGCCAGAGAGGTGAATAAAAAGTTTTTCTTACCCTCAATATGCTTTCTCTTTGGTAGAGGAGACTATCAATCAAGAGATGACTAGAATACAGGTGCCAAGTGCTCTCTGGAAAGTTAGGGGGCTCTCAGCACATAAAGAGACCATGAAGGGCCTCCTGGTACTTACCACAGGCTGTGTTCCCATACTGACTGGATAGAAAGAGGAGGCAGAGCACATCTATCCCAAACACACATCAGCCCAGGCCCTGTGCATAGTCTGTACTGTGAATGGGGGGACATGGAGAAAATTTTTTAAAAAAAGAAGATAAAGGAAAGAAAATGTTGACTATGGTTAGAGCCCGAAGACTGAGGTCACAGTTAACCAGGTGAGAAATGAGAGGAGTTCTCTCTAAGTAAAGGGAAGAAAACAATATGTGGAAAGGCTCAAGGACATGTGTGTGTGTGTGTGGGGGGGGTGTAAGGATGTGAGAGAGACAAAAAGAGTACACAGTACACTTGTAGAACTGCAGTAATACAGCCTAGCAGACTGGATAGGTGGAGGCAGTGTTTAGAGTAAAGCTACAATTTCAAATACCTATTGCTGTCTAACAAGTCCCCCACTCTTAAATTTGATTTATACAACAATGACAACAATTTAACTGCTCATAATTTTTCCCTTTGGTCAGGGCTCTGAAAGGAGGTTTGTCTCTATCCCTAGTCATATTGGCATAGATTTTGTAATCACATATCTCTTCTGCATATTCTATTGGTCAAACCAAGTTATAGGACCCTCCCAGATTTAAAATAAAGGGAAACAAAGAGTACCAGGAGCAAAATAAGTGACAGGGATAGCAGGAATTGTTAGTAGCTATGATTTCAGACAATCTACTGCCCTAGTATAGTTTTCTCATGCCATAGGAGAACTCAGCTTTATCCAGAAGCCTATCATACAGCCAGTAAAGGATTCTTACAATGGGAAAGAAGAGGTCCTAGAATTGACTTAGAGAATGAATTAGAGAAGATGAGGCCAACAGCCAAAAGGACCATTAAGATCCAGTGCCATAGTGTAGGTAGAAGTAATGAGAACCTAGACTTCAATGATAATAGCAGTCAGAGTGGTGGAGAAAGGGACAGAGTCACTCATTCATTCATTCAACAAACATTGATGGAGTGACTAATATATGCAAGTGTGCTAAGAATTCAGCAGTGCACAAAATAAACAACATCCTTTCTCTTGGAGCTTACATTGTACTGAGGGAAATAGATTAAACACGATACATATGTAAAACGTGTTTTAAAGAATAAAAATAATGGAAAGAGGGGAGGCAGGACCAATTGGAGAAAGGTGCTAACGTTTATAGTAAAGTACTCAGAGAATCGTTTACTGAATAAAGAGCCGAAGGAGTTACAGAAACGTGTCTGGTACCTGGTGTGGAAAGAACATCCCAGGTAGATGGAAGACCAAGCCCAGAGGTCTTATATTAGTTTTGTAGGGCTGCCAGGACAAAATACCACACACTGTGCAGCTTAAATAACAGAAATGTATAGTCTCACAGTTCTGGAGGCTAGAAGTCCAAGATCAAGGTGTCAGTAGGGTTAGTTCCTTGTAAAAACAGTGAGGGCAGGACCTCTTTCAGGCCTCGCCTCTAGCTCTGGTGATTTGCTGTCAGTCACAGGCATTCCTTGTCTTGTAGACACATCACCTCAGTCTCTGCTTTTGTCTTCACATGATGCACTCCTTGTGTGCATGTTGCTATACCCAAATGCCCCCCTTTTATAAGTACACCAGTCTTTTCTGGATTAGGTCCTATTCTAATGACCTTATAAGACCCTGTCTCCAAATAAGGTCACATTTTGAAGTAATGATGGCTAAGAGTCCAATATATCTTTTTGCAGGGGACCTGACTGAACCCATGACAGGCCCCAAAGTATAAGTAAGTCAGGAAAAGGAACTGAAATGAGGCCATGTAACTGAAGTACAGTGAACAATGAATGGGAGAATACCAAGATATGAGGCCAGAGATAGCAGAGACCAGATCAGATAGGGTCCTTAGCTTATAGGAAGAATGTCAGCTTTTCTCTGTGAAATGGGAAGCCATTGGAGAAACAGGACAGAGAAATTGTATAATCCATTTTATATTTCTGTAGGATTGTGCTATAATTTAAATGTATTCACCAAAACTAATGCCAAAATGTAATTGCCATTATAACATTATTAAGAAGCAGGTACTTTTTTTTTTTTTTTTTTTGGAGAGATTTTCACTGTAGGGCTCGTGCGCTCGCCAGACAGACAGAGAGAGACATAGAGACAGAAAGTGAGAAATCACCCCCCAGGGGGATGGTCACGCCGCAATCCCTTCTCCTCCATTCTCCTCTCAGGATCTTGGGCACGCATGCACACATGCCCGGCGTGAGTTTTTTAAGCCACCGGGTCCGGGACTTGAACCGCAGTCGACTACGTGGGAGTCCAGCGACATAGCCATTACGCTAACTGCTGGTTCCCAAGAAGCAGGTACTTTAAGTAATAATTAAGTCATAAAGTCTCTGCCCTCATGAATAGATTGGTATGTTATTGGGGGAGTGGGTTAATTAATCATGAGAGTAGTTTGTTTTGTTTCGTTTTTTACTTTTTCTGTAGGGCCTGTGTGTGTGTGTGTGTGTGTGTGTGTGTGTGTGTGTGTGTGTGTGTTGGAGAACCCCTGAGGGGGGATGGCCACACTGCAATTCCTTCTTCCCCACTCTCCATGGGCATGCATGCACATGATCTGGCATGATTTTCAAGTTGCCAAGTCCAGGACCTGAACCGCAAAGTCAGTCGGATGAGATCCATGCCACATTCTGACTTGAGAGTAGGTATTGAATAAATGGATGAGTTCGGCCCAAATTTCTCTCTGACTTGCTTGATCTTTTATGCTTGCTTCCACTCTTCTGTCATGGGATGATCCTCATCAGGTGCCACCACCATGCTCATGGACTTCCTAGCCTCTAGAACCATGTGACAGATAAACTTCTGTTTTTTTTTTATAAATTACCCTGTAGTATTCCATTATAGTAGCTGAAAAAGGACTAAAACAGATTTTGTTTGCTAATGTGTAAAGAATAGACTAACAGGGGGTAAAGGAAAGTAAAGGAGCATAATTAGAACCTGACACAGTAATTTGAAAGAGAGAAAATAAAAGGTGGACCAGAGAAACAACAGAAAAAATTGATTAAACGTGGTTAGGTTCTGGGTATAGGAATTAGCTGATGAATCAAATGAGGAACTAGGCATCAAATATGATGTCAAGATTCAGGGCCTCAGCAATGGAAAGATGGAGTTGTCATAAACTCAAGATTTAGAAGGGTATGTCAAGAGCTCAGTTGTGGACGTGTTAACTCTGAAATGCCTACTGGATATCCAAATCGAGATGTCAGGTACACAGCTGGATATGCAAATCTGTGTTTCCAGAAACTAGAGACATAAATTTGGAAGTCACTGGTACATGAATGATATTTAAGGATATGCAGCACAGAGGTAAGTGCCTTTAGCGATGAGTTACTTTCTCTGAGTCTTTTATGCAAAATAAGACTCATAACCCCTCCCTTGCAAAGTGACAGTGAGAATCAGCTGAAAATACTCTGGAAAGGAGCACAGAAAATAGAGTTGGAGCCACATAAGAAAGCTTAATATAAATCTCTCGATAGTGTCCATTATTTTGCTTGAATTTTAAATGAATGAAACCTTAGTGATTACCATCTCAATTTTTGCCTCCTGTTGCTCCCTCCTAATGGCTTAGTTTCATTCCCTTACCTATGTGGAGTTTAGAAGTGGTTCAGAGAAAGGCTGTAGCAGTGCGTAGAGGGTTAATGCTGTGCCAGTGGGGATGTGCAAACCAGGAGCCATTCTAAATCTCAATACCACATGCTGCCTTAGGGATCATCATGTACTAAAGCCCAAGATAAAAAGGCCTGACAAAGATTATTGACGGTTTACCTTTTAATGAGCAGCTTGGATTGATTCTGTTCCCCTCTGGGATGGCTTTCTCTGTCCTTCCTCTACCCGGGAGACCATAGGGAACAATAATAACAAAAAATACAAATCTCCAATTTGAATAATTGCAAAGAGCTGCTTTCTGGCAAATAAAGTTTCCATGGGTGAGAAATGGTTCACAGCTTAAAAAATATATATTTAGAATCGTTATGATGATCATGATTATTATAAAGCGCTACTGGTACAGTGGATATTTTCAAAGAGGCTGGTTGCCTCTAATTGGATATTCCTTGCAATTTCCCTCTGGGTAGGTCAGCAGTGTTAACTCTTAATCATCCAAGGCAATTAAATGCATGCAGTTCTAACCTATGCACCAAAGGCTGCTGAACTGTTAATATAGTTATAATGGTACAGCCAGACATAAGAGTACTGTTTAGGAGGAAAAGATTGGAAACCAGTTGTGTGGGCTCTTACACAGCTATTCTGGAGAGGAAAATTATACATTTGCAAATGATAATGGACAAAAGTGGCACATGTCTTAGTGCATAGTTCTCTGGATCTAATTTCTTCCTTGCAGAGGGCCAGAACTCCATCTGAGCCAACAGATCATTTGATGAACTTTGAATGAGCCCTTCAGGTCATCCTTGTCATGGATATAATAGTTCTTACAGTGGCCAGTAGGAGGAAGAATCAGAGAGGTAAAGAAAGAATTAGGGGTCATCTTTTGGAGAATTTTAGTTTGTTGTGATCCTAAGAAAACAATTTCATTCAATGCTGGCTTTACTGCCCACTCAAGGTCTATGCAAATACCACTACGACCCCATCCCCAATCCTCATCCCTGCACCCCATTCTTGATCCATTGTGGAAATGGAATCTAGATGTCTGTAATGCATATTAATTGGTAGTTATTTTCTATGATTCCAAACTGACTAGAACAGTAACTTCACACTTTTTATTGGAACCAACATAGGGAATATTGATTCAGTACTTACATGTATATCCAAAACTAAGTTTCACAGAACAATAATTACCTTTTTTTTTTATGTGCAGTGTATTCTGGTGTAATCTAGCCTATATTATTTATATTAAAAAATTGGCTGTGACAATTAACTTGACTTTACAACCTACTAATGAGCTATAATGCAGTTTGAAAAATATTGAACTAGAACAAGAAATAAGGAGGTCTCTGACTTATATGTCTGGATAATGAGTGAAGATGTAAATAGAGCCTCTCTCAATCAAAATAGAACCATGCCAGGTGAAGGATTCATAAGGACTTTCTTCCTGATACCTTTTTAGCTCTCTCCTCCTTGTTCAGGGACCAAGTCTCA